CAGAATAAACATGTTTCCCTCTTCTGAACCCACGCAGAAAGCACGCCATGGCAGAAATAATCATGACGTGACTGCTGACTTTTCTTCTAGTTTTGCAACACTGAGTGCACTATGTGTGCTTATAAAATTTCCATGTTTCAATTTTACCACCACAAGCAACCTACTGAAGAGGTTCTTTATGGATGAAATTATACAGTATTAGATTGCTTCCAATACTAAAGGTTGGGTCAGGAGTAATAACCTGGGATAGAGCTACAGTCATGCCTCCCCAGCCACGATGGATTGTACCCCCTTCAATTGTGAACAAAAGTAAACCTATAGGTCACTCCTTACTGAATGTGTTGCCTATCTCGTTACCTGAGCAAGGACAGACAATATTACTCCCTGTGTCAAATATTGTGAGGTATATGTGGCAACCAGACCCCACTAATAAGTGGGCAAACAAGAACCCGGGGAAAGCTGTACTTGCTCACTGTTAAGCCAGGAGTTGGAGAACCATCTCCAGATCGAATCTTACAACCAGCTGCCTCCTCTGGAGACTCCTACTTCTATTAAGATCATTGTGGTTTTTATGAACCTCAACGACATCGGAGTCCTGTTCTTTGTAGTTCAAGAAAGTGAAACCAGCCAAGAACCATAGCGTGTGCCTGTAATTCCAGCATTTGGGAGGCAGAGATAGGTTGCCACTACTTCAAAGCCAGTCTGGGAGTATATGCCTAGTACCAGGACCAACAAGGGCTGCACAGGAGGCAAAAAAAAAAAAAAAAAAGAAAAAAGAAAAAAAGAGAAAGCAAGTTCCTAAAGAACTCATGAAGAGAAAAGTATTTCAGAAACACAAACTAGCACGTGTTACACTGAAAGCCAAATACTGGAAATGGAGGATCAAAGCCAAGAATAAAGTTACTGTCTTATGGGTCCAAACGTGGCAATGAATTTTTTCAGGAACTGTACCAATGGATCCAGTAGTTTAGCAAACCACACCCTTTTTTAAAGCATGCTTTGGACGATAATACATAAACTGCCACAGCACTATCTCAGGAGCCCTGAAAGAAGGTGTAATTATAGTACTTAACTGGCAACCAGAAGTGCTTCTATTACAACTCTTGGCGGTTTCAAGATGCAGCCAAAACATATTCCACCAAAACCTAAGCCTTCCCCTGTACATTTAATTTCAGCCCAATTAATAAGTGTCAGGTACTCCCTCTGTTAATAGGCATGGCTCAGTTTAAATTATCTCCCCAGGGGCAGACTAATTCAGAGGTTAGCATTATTAGAATCTGTGTGAACAGCTGGGTAAAGGTGTTCACATTACCAGCAGGAGAGTTCACACTTAACCTACTGAGCAGGTATCATATGGGACACCAACATGTAAAACTGAGTCTGAAAATAACATGAACTCAGTTACACTGGCCCATCACCATATAATCCGCCACAGAAAGTTGACATCACAAGTCAAAAAACTAATGGGCTACAAGCTGCACACTAAATTTCATGCCTTAGTGTTCATAGGATAGCCTCTGAAGAGAATCACAACAGGTGACAGCAATTTTACAGTCACTAACACCTTGCAAGAGGTCAACAAACTACAAACACTATTTGTAGCCCTAAATAAGCACCAATCTCTTCAATGTCCTTTCCATTTCAAAGTACAAGAAATCACATTGTAGTCTTATAAAAAGATAATTACCACTACAGTGCTTAATGAATTTCCTAAAGATGAATTTGTACAGAAAGTTGGCTTTAATTGGTTAAATTGGGATTATCTACCAAGAAGCATTAGTATTTAAATTTGTAAAAAAAAAAAAAGAAAGAAAGAAAGAAAGGAAGGAAGGAAGGAAGAAAGAAAGAAAGAAAGAAAGAAAGAAAGAAAGAAAGAAAGAAAGAAAGAAAACTCTGCTACTAAAAATGTAGAACAGAGTCAGGAAAACATGACTACCAACAGAAGAGCTCTGTGTAGTACTGGACTAGCCCAGAGCCTGGAGGACTAGGCAAGGTCTGATGAGATGGCTCAGTGGGTACAGCGCTTGAAATGCAAGTGTGATAACTAGAGTGTGATCCCCAGAATCCATGCATGAGTCCTTCCTACCTGAATCCCTCCCTCTCAGCACACTTGGGAGAGGCCAGCTCCACTGGATGAAAAGGCCAGCTCTAGGATCTGTCAGAAACCTTGACTAAATATGGAAGGTAGAGAGCTATTAAGGAAGAAACCTGAGATCAATCTCAGGCCTCCACACCACGTATGCATAAATTACATAAAATGCTTGATGTGTATGGTGACACACGCCTTTAATTCCAGTACTTTGAAGGCAGAGACAGGCAGATTTCTAAGTGCAAGGTCAGTCAGGACTACTTGAGGCTCCATCTTAATGACAACAATAATAGTAAATAAACAAAAATCTTAGGCAAGAGTTCTACAACAGTCCAAAGCTCTGGTTATTTTATTTTTAATTTTTTACATACATGTATTTATTATTCAGTGTGTATGTGGTGGACAGTGTGCATAGGATAACGAGGAGGAGGTTAGAGAACCACTTCTGAAAGGGACTTTTCTCCTTTCACCATGTGGGCTCCAGGGATCAAACTCAAATCATCAGGTTCGACAACAAGCACCTTTACCTGCCAAATCATCTCACCAGCCTGTAATGGTGTATGTCTAGAACAAGAGTCCCATTACATTAACCAGGATGGTCAAAACTTCTGGGCTCAAGTGATCCTGTCCTTCAATTTCCTGAGTATCTGGGACTAGAGGCATGTGCAACCACACCCAGTTTAGCTTTTGAAATAGCTTTTCCAGCTACATATCCAAAAAGAAAAAAGAAAAAGAAAAAGAAAAACACCAGCTTTTCAATAATGCGAAGTTAGTTTGAATAAATACATCACTCCAAAGCCAAACAAACCATAATCCAAGACAAGTTCTGTAAGCAACGAAATACAAATTCCACAATGCTCAACTAAGAATGGAGCTTCTTCAAGGGATTCAATCCCAGATTTAAAAAAAAAAATCTTGTCAATTATAACTGCCTCTAAGACATGGCAGCAGTTCCCACAAAGCCTATGCACACTGCTCACCTAGAAAAGATAACAGTCAAATGAAATCCAAAGCAAAGAGTGGAAACAGCACTAAATGAAACAAATGTATCTGAGAGTAGTAGTGTTCTAATTTTTGTTTTGTTTTTTGAGACTGAGTTTCTCTGTGTAGCCCTGGCTTTTCTGGAACTCGAACTCAGTGATCTACCTGCCTCACCTCCTAATTTCTGGGATTAAAGGCATGGGCCACTATGTACCCCTAGCGTTTTATTTTTAGCACCATCACAGCACGGAACTGAACAGCAATGGAGAAATTAAAACAAACCCACACAATCACCTTCATACTTTGTTTTCTAGCCAAGCCTGGTGGTACAGAACTGTAATCTCAGCTACACAGGGGGCTTCGCAAGAAACAGCTCAAGGTAAATTCAGTTCATCTGGGAAACTTAGCAAGGCTCTTGATGCAAAATTTTAAAGGGGGGCAAGGGAGCAGGTCAGTTTACAGCATTTGCCCACTGTGTGCAAGGAACAGATTCAATCCCCAACACTGGAAATAAGTTTTCTCAAACAAAGTGAAAGAATGAGTTGGAACACAAGAGCTGAAAAGAGTAAACTAATCATCCCCGTGTATGAGCAACAGACAAGAATGTGTTCAGAGTCTGGGGAGACTGCTCAGTGGCAGACTCCTTGCCTGTGGATGCCCCTTGGGGGAGGCCCCAGGTTTGACCAACAGCACCAAGGAGGAAGGGAAAACAATTATGTTCAAATTTATGTTCTCTACCAGCAGTAACTACATTCCTGTATCTGGATGCACATGCTTGTACACTACTTTTTAACCTTTTAAACTTAAATGTTCGCATGTAGAAATTGGAAATACTATACATAAGCATATTCCCCCTGCCCCAGATGAATGACCAATAGGAAATCTTTCACATTATCCCAGCTTCAGGATAACTAAGGACTAGTTCCCAAACACTCAAATATTCCACTGCCTGAAAACCGTTCAATCTGTCACTCCAGACTACCGAAGATACCATGTTTGTGCTTCTGATAAATGGGATGGTGTGGAGGAACATTCGGTTTGTTTATAATCCCACTGGTATCAGTGGCCCCTGACCCTTTCCTGAGCTTGCCACCCATCACACATGAAGGACACCAGCAGTGTAACCACAGGACTGCAATTTGACATTCAAGTGAAAACCTTGAAACATTTCGGCTGTATTTCTCAACTTTGTTCCTGATTGGCACTTGGGGGAAGGCAGTGACTGCACGGGCTGCTGAAGTCCTACAGCACAGCCACAGCAACCTCCCGGCCTTTCCTCTCCAGAGGCCAGCAGCACCCTCTCCCCAGGTGAGAACCAAACACGTCTCCAGACCCTGCCACATGTTCACTGGGGGTGGAAACAAACGCTGCTCTAGGAGTCTGACAACTTCCTCCGTTGTCACAAGATGAGAATGTCCTGCCACGCCAAAGCGTTCCACACAGTTTCTGGAGTTCTAATTGCCTACTTTCTGTGAAACCTCCTGAATCCTCCAAAGTTCACTCCAACTGTCTTCCTGTAGAAGGCTAACTCTTCCACATGTGCAAGATTAAACGCACTTCTGATGATGAATCTGGGACATGCTGGGACAGGCGCCAACAGTGACTGGGTTTTACAGTTTCGATGAATTACACCTTCTTTTAACCCTTTCATGGAATGACTAACCAACCCTCCTTTAACCCTGCGTTCGCAAACCATTTTCCCGGAAGCCTTCTACAGAATGTGCCCTCTTCACCTCTCAAACACTTGGGTCCCTCACTCCACTGAGGTCTAACCTCTGCCAAGGGCTTCAGCCCCCCCCCCTTCCTTATCAGCTAACCCGGTCCTTGTCATATATCTTCAGGACTCCGTTCCAATGCTGCAACCCCTGCCCAGGCCGGTACTTGGCCCCAGACTCCTACTTGACACCTCCCCCGCCCCCCAGGAAGGTACCTGAAGTAGTAGACATCGCTCTTGCCAGCACTGAGCCCTGATTTTCGGATCACTTCCTCCTTCTTCCATCCGGGGGGGAGGGCAGGGCAGTCCATCCTCTTCCCGCTTTCCGTGGCCCGGGGTCCCCTGGGCCCCGGCCCCGCACTCCCCGACGGGAAAGGGACAGGCTCCCGCCGGGGGGCGACGCCGCCACCGCTGCCGACACCGGAGCCGCCCGCGCCGCCGTCGCCGCCAAGGCCGCTGCCGCCACTCTGGGGACGGCCGCGGCCCCGGCCCCGGCCCCGGCCACGGCCCCGACCCCGGCCACGGCCACGGCCACGGCCACAGACGCCGCCGCCCCGGGCCGCCTGCTTCCACCGCCCCCGGCCACGGCCGCCGCCCCGAGCGCCTTCCCTGCGCACGCCGCTCACCGGGGACGGAGCGAGCGCGCTGCCCTGGCCCCCCTGCTCTATGGCGGAGTCGCCGCCAGCGCCGCTGCCGCCCGCCGCGCTCTCCCCCTCCTCCTGCTCCGGGCAGCAGCGGCCTCCCCCCGGGTGCGCGCGCATCCAGCCCCCTCCCCAGCCGGCTCTGCGCTTCTTCCGTAACCGAGCCCTTGGAATCCCGGAGACCCGCCCCGCCCGCAGCGCGGCGCGCGGGGGACGCGCGCAAGCATCATAGAGCGGGCGCGCACAGAGCGGCCCTCCCGCCCGGGGCGTGGCCCCGGCCGCGCCTCTTAGGTCCTCCAAGCTCTGGGCACGGCCATGTTGTCTCCGCCTCCTCGGGACCACGCCCCCCGAGACCACCTGCCCCGCCCCCCGCCGCGCCCTTCCGGCCCAACCCCCCCCCACTGGGCGCGCGGAGAGTTGAAGGTTGGTGGAATCTGGCTGACAAGTGTGCAGGGTGACCCGGGTACTTTGTTTCAAGTAGGGTTAAAATGTAGCCACCGTGCGAAGCTACCTGTGCTTGCTTCTTCAATTAACAGACATCTCATTTTGTATTTCCAAACTCAGCTGTTCTTTGAACGCAGTAGCAGTTAGCCTCCTGTCCACCATGGTATCCCAGGGACTTCAAATTGAAAGAATGAAACAGTATCCCCACGAAATGGTTGTCAGTGTCCTCCAGTGCTTGGGGTCAGGGCCACTAATTCTCCTAGGATGTATTAAGGGTATAGGAATTGGGGTAAAGGTTTGACTTCTAGATTCTCAGTAGAATGTCTAAAATCTGAATTCATCTAGAATTGACCACATTTCAAGGATCTTTTCTTGTTTTAAACTGCTTTGTCTCACAGGAAAATGTCGGTGTCCTCTCACTTGCTAAGTACATCTTTATGTGGAAAGTCCAATTTAACCCACTAACTACTTCAGGAATCTGAGTGTACTTCATCTAAGTCGACCATCTCATTATTCAGCATTTGGATTGTCAAGGAGAGATCAGTACTGTTACTGTGTGCTTTGGGGAATCATTTGTGAAGGTGAAAACTGAAGGAGACAGCCAAGCGGTGTATACAGCTCAGGGAATCACATTAAACTAGTATACGTGAGGCCCTGGACTTCATCCCCAGAACTACAAAGAAACAGCAAAACAGTAGTGATACCTTAAATGGGAAAATATATACTTTGGAAAATTTTTATATTTCCATTTTGTGCCCCTATCGTGCCTATAAATGTATTTTAATGAAACAAGTCACGTGCATTTAAGTTCATTATTTTAGCTTCTACCAGATTCAATTTACTAAATTCTGGTAAATATAGTTTAATGTTCCTCTACTAAGAAAAAAAATGCATTTAGGAATTCCAGAAGTTTTATTGTCACATGTGATTTTCCTACTATAATCCTATCAAGTTTTTTAAAGGTTCCCTTATGACTTGGAGTGGGGTCTTGAGCTAGCTGGAAGAAATGGAATGTAAGAGCTAGGAGAGTTTCAGAATTGGATTAATGCAGGGTTTCAGAGCTATGAGACCTTTTACAATCCAGTTGGTATGAACCAGGGAGCCACTCACATAGTGACCAAGGGTAGATGTCTCTGGGACACTGAATAGAGTTCCTTATCTCGGAACAATAAAACTTAAAAGATGTCTACACTCCTGGGACAGTGCAAAGCAGATTCAACTTTATTGAGGAGATTTACAGAAAAGTAATAAATTAGGTGAGAGAAATCTCCAAGGGTAGGAGGGGCTTCCAAGAGAGGAAAAAAACCACGGAACTCCTTTGTCTAGGGGATTTCATAGGGCCGTGGCAGAATCTGGACAAAGGCTGAGACAGTCTCTACTGAAATTGGCTGATCTGTGTTACTAACATGGGCTGAGAAAAGGCAAGAATTGCAAGTTGTATGCATGCCCTGCATGCCCAGGCCAGGAAGATGATCACGAGCTGCTCACGTGATGCTTACCCAATTAGAGGTGGTTGAAACTCCTCTCTTACTCCAACCTTGTTAGTTATTGACTGGTAACTGTTAGTCACTTGGTCAGTGTTAATACAGTCTGACCTTGCAAGTGTTTCCAGTGCTGTTAATTAAACGAAGATTCCTTTGTTCTCACAATTACCTGACCAGCTTGTAGTTTTACTATGGCAGAGAGTTCACTCTATAACAGCCACCAAAATGTAGTTTCAATCTTTCTCGGGTTGCTTCATGTTTAGTTCTTTGTCTGTGGGGTAATCTGAGGTCTCCAAGGTGGAAGTTTTTTGCTGGAAGCAATCCTTAAAATTTAATCTGTTACAGGGAGCTGCATAACAAGCAAAAATATAAGAGAAACCAATGGTGGCCTACGACGGATGTCCCTCAAGGGTTTGAGGGATGTCTTTATTTGGTTCTATTTCTGTGATAAAGATCAGGACGAAAAACAAGTTGGGGAGCAAAGGGTTTATTTGGATTACATATTTCCAGTCACAGTCTATTGAGGAAAGCCAAGACAGGAACCCAAGGTTTGAACCTTGAGGCAGGAAGAGAAATAAAGGCCCTGGGAGAAACTGCTCGCTGGCTTGCTCCTCACAGCTCGCTCAGCCTGATTTCTTCTACCGCCCAGGACAACAAACCCAGAGGTGGCATTACCCCCCACAGTGAGCCGTGCCCTCCCAAATCAATTATTAATCAGTAAAACTGCCTATAGGCACGCATACAGGCCAGTCGGCTGGGGGTGTTTTGTGGTTCCCTCTTCTCAAATGACTCAAACTTAAGTTGACAAGAAACTAGCCAGGACAGGGTGAAGGGGAGGAGCAGCTGGTTTCCTTTCACTAGTCCAGAGCCCCTTGTCCCCCTTATCTGTCTAGTCTGGTTATTTCACATCCAACTCTTAAGACATCTCAATAACCTTCCTCAGTTGCCGTGTTAAACTTTATCTTCCTTCTAACCCCCTCCTCTGCTCTCCACATAACGAGTGTGAGCAACTTGCAGTTTTCACTGTGGGACCTTATCATTTAATACCATCATCCACTAGCTAACACAGAGAGCTAGCTCCTGCATTAGGGTCCTTAGTCCAAAGCATAGGCTATTGCTTTTAAAAGATAAACTCTAAAAAATGCCACGGTTTGGAGGTAAATTGTAAATTAAGCAAATATAATGCAAAGTACTCTTAAGAAGAAATCTATACCTGATTCAAAAGTAAACAAAAATAGAAATGTGTGCACATGTAATTTTAGAGACTATTAGGAGGAGTCAAATAACTTTAACTCAAATGAACAGAAACACAGATAAAGATATTTACATCCATGGAGCAGAAACGCAGACAAAGATATTTATATCCAGGGATAGTTATGAAGTAGAGTCTAGTTTGGTGAGCCTATTTTTATGCCATTTATCCTATACCATTTATAGGGAATGATGAACACTGAGTTAAAGCTGTTGTAGAAAACATTGTAACTCATATAACCAAATGTTTATAAGCTGAATTTGAAGTCTCTTCTTAATGAAATAAAAAAAATGTGCTATGTGTTTCTCAGGGCACTGAAACAATGTTATGCTTTTATTTTTACCTAACCCATGCCACAGGGAGAAGTAGGTGTGCTACTCGTTTTTTGAGCGCACATGGTTTAAAATGATTTGTATCCGTTCAGTGCATTCGTCTGGTATCTGATGAGCCATCCACAGGTGCCAGGCAGGTCCAGCAACAGGCACTGGGGATACAGGAGTGAAATTAAAGAAGGTGAAGTTTGTGAGCTGGTGAGAGAAAAAGTTCAATAATCACAGTAAAGGCCGCACATGGATGAGGGAAATAGCTATGGGCAGAGTGGCACCAAGTGTAAAAACTGGGGAGCTTGTGCAAGGGTGGAGGCCTGGAGTGATAAGGAAAGTTTCTGTGAGCTGAGTGAGGGTGATAGAGAAATGGGAGGGCCATCACACACAGGTTTCGCTAGATGAAAAGTTCTTGGAAGAAGCACGTAAGATCTTTCCAACTTTGAGTGGCAGAAGTGCACAGGTGAAAAAAAAAAACAGGGAAAGCAGAAAGGGTTTAGGCAATCTAGCAAAACAGACTCTGAGCTGGGGTCAGGCAAAACTTTCTCTTGAGTGACACTGAGACATTGGGGCAGCCGATTGCTGTCTGGTTGAGATGTAATTTCTGATGCAAACATTCACATAGCATCCTTCATCAGCCCTTGTTTGTACTTTTAGTCATTTAAGGCAGAATTTTATTATGGTGTCTGGGACTGCTGGGCTCAAGCCCTTCTCCCTCAGAGATCTCGGGGTAGCTTGGATTGATTACAGGTGTCCAACATTGTCCCTGCCAGGCCAGATTTCAGGTAGATCAAATGTCAGAACATTCTGGTGTTTTGCAGGCCAAATTATAGTTCAAAACCACTATTTGGTATATCAAGTGTTGTCTCATGGTCCTGAAACCCAAAGATCCATTTCCCTTCCCCTAGCAGTGGGTATTTTATACTTTTATACATCACCCATCAGCACTCATTACGGATAGTGTTACAAGCAGCAGAAACTTGAGAAATATAAGTCATTTCTTAAATGATTTTCTGTGACTCAAAATTCACCTCTTCTTGTTTTCACTCGCTTTTTAGACAATTTACGCTTCTTGGTTAGAGCTATTAAGCACAAAATCTCTCTGTAGTCATTCCAAGTAGATGGTTATTTTAAAAAACGAAATCTTTATTTATACCATGTGTACTTGAAAGTGTCATTAGGCCTTTGACATGCCTTGCCAGCAGCATTTTATTTTCGTTGGAAATTAGGTGAACAGTAGTTGTGCCAACTCAGTGAATCATGAGGCCTGCTAATTAGAGCTGGAGGCCGTCTCTTTGGTTGCCCTCCCACTCTCGAAATGTCTTACAAAGTCTGTCCCTATGCTCTGAGAGGCAGGCATGATGATTTGGTCCTCACTTAACGCGGATACACTCTGGCAAAAGTACAATTGTTTTCAATATTCTAGCTCTTCTTTTGTTATTTTGTCACACCCAAAGATACTAACAGGAGTATCTGCTAGTCAGTGAAGTGCATAGATCTGAAGCCAGGCCTCCCCTCTAGCAGTGAGGTTTCAATCCCTGAATTTGTTCTTTGTTTTCATAATGAAATATAACAACAGTGTGTTTTTTTAAATTACTTTTTCACTATCCGCTTAACCTCCTCTTCACTTGGTCAACAAAGGGAAAATGTTGGAAAGAGCAGATAGGCTTTCAGGGCGA